AACATTCTTTATTATTAATGTACATTGTATACATTTATAGTATCTATATTTTTGATACACAATAATGTTTATAAAAATATTGTTAATGAAATGTTCAGTCTCTTTACATTCATTATTCTGCATTTGTAGTTGTAAAGATACTCAACTCTACCACTGGAATAATGACATTTTGCAAATACGAAAAAGAATGATGGGTTTTGATAGCTCTATCTTAAAGGAATGAGTGAATAAAAATCTTTCATATCACTAGACTCTAATGATACACACACACTTCTTGATTATAAGAAATGCTCAATATAAATACAGGATTATAACTATTCAAATAACAAGTTATCATTTTCCTGTTCCATATTAACATAAATAGCCTTGAACTACATAAACTTCCCCAGCATTTTTTTATTTTTAAAAAACTAGTCAAATATTACATCAAACCAAAAGTAAATGATTTAAAATGTGCTATCTTAGACTTGTATAAATAAAGCACAATGTGATTCAAAAATATGATGTCTCACACATGTTCAGTAATTCAAAATACCAGAAAAAAGTAAGCTCGTGATACTTAGACTTATATAAATAAAGTACAATGTGATTCAAAAATATGATGTCTCACACATGTTCAGTAATTCAAAATACCAGAAAAAAGTAAGCTCGTGAAATACCAAAGTATCCCTTTAAGAATTAGAGTTTTGTATTTTTGAATAATTTTATTTATTGTGAAATCAGTATTTTAACACAATCTCCTACATATGTTATTTAATATTCATTAACCCAACAGATTTTTCTTCCCTAAAGTAGTAGGGTCTTATTATTGGAATTTTTCTCCACATGTACAGTAGAATTAATTAGCTTGTGTGGCCATCAGTTCTTGTTACAGAAAGTAAAAAAAAAAAACGTTTTCACACTTGAGAATGAAATAGTCAAACATGTAATTATTTTTATATAAATATTTCTGAAACTGTTATACAATGTCATAGAGAAGAGTAACATAGTATAATAATCAAATACATTTGTTACATAACATTTTTCTATTCACTATTTATCTTCTCTTGATATTTTTACCAACTCAAAGTAGAAAGAATAATAACTTCATAAGAATCTTATTATAACATTAAAATGTTATCTAGTCTTTTTTTTCTTTCTAAATTAAGGCTAAAGTAACATGGTAGTTTTGCTTATCATGAATAAAACCAAGAGTTCCATAAGAAAACTGTTTACTGTTGTGCCATCTTTTATAAACACGAATCTCAAAGCCCAACTGCATACTTTGTTTTCTGAATTAATTTCTCAAAATAAAATTAAAAACATTTAACTATATGAGCATTTTCATATTCTTCATTTATAATGGCCACTGAATTGCAACTGTAGTGCTTTGTCTCAACAATATGACAGGCATCCTAGAGAATCTCAGAAAAGATAAACTTGCAAAGAATACTTATGAAATGTTATGAGAGAGTGTAGAAAGCAAAAAATACTTATAAAATAACTTACATCTAGGCATAATAACCCAACTGACTAAAAAGGAAGACCAGATAGAAAATAAAAAACTCAAAGAGCACAGCAAAAAAGAATCTTTATTGTTGAGATAACACAAAGATGACAGGATCAACATCAATAAAAGTACAAGGTTGGCTGACTGGGAGTTTTCTGGTAAGAAAGCTTTCACATTTTCATTGAAATGGAAGGTAGCTACCATAACAAAACCCAACAAAGACACAGAAAATGAAACTTATGAGACTGTGAATAAAATCATTAAAACTGATAAAGAATTTCAAAAAAAGATGCAATCCATACAAATCAAACAACAATATACATGTAAGAGCCAAAGGATATTTCCTAAAAATGAAAAGCATTTTAAGATAAGTGGAAAGAAGTTGAAAAATAAAACTGAGTAAAAAAAAGAATGAATAAAACTCAGAGTAAAAGTATGAAAACAATCTGGGTTAAGAAAGAAAATAAGAACAAATGAATCAGATGTTACCTCCTAGTCAAATCCTCTAGACATCTGGAAAACTGCTATAGAAGACAGAAAGAATACCAAGGTGCTTATTAATTTATTGATATAATGTAAATAAAAAAATGTGAGTATGCTGAGAGGTCCACATGTTCACACACAAGATGGCTTCTAATATAAAATATATATCTTCTATAAGTAATATGGCCAGCTATTGTCCTGGATAACACAACCCTAAAACACTATGAAGACTGTTGGAAGGGTTACAGTCCATGACATAAAAAACAATCATCGAATTAGAAAAAGAGGTAGAAGAAATATTGTTAAAATATCAGAGATGCTAAAGAATATACAAGTATTTTTACTAAAAGATTCAGTATGACAGAAGTAAGTTTAGGAGTAAATGTTATTCTACCATTTTAAAATTACTATGAAACTGTCAAATAACACATGGCTCTTAATAGTGTGACTCTTTGAATATGACTGAGTTGAAAAAGACCAAACACAATGTAAAAACAAAATGAGAAATAATCTTTATTGAACAAAATAAACAAGAGTGCATTACATCCAACATGAAGACAATCCAAGTAGTGTAAATTAAGTTCTGAAGAAGCTCTCTATAAGAATGGGAGAGTACAACTACTATTTACAAAATACTATAGTTTTATCTTTCCCAGAGCACATTTAAGGTTACATCAGTGGATGCCAAATTGGATGGGGCAAGTAGAAGCCAAATGCCCACAGAGTGGTAAAACAATAGGTCTAAAGAATACAACCTCTGATTAGAAGCCCATAGGACCTGACTGAAAACATACAGGCCCATAGCCAACCAAAAGGAAGGATTATGAATACAACATTCAACCATTGTGGATGAACTGAAGAAAGCAAAAGGTGAGTAAACAAATTGGAATGTGGAGAAAACATCTGAGACATTGATTCTGGTCATTCACATCTTGGAAAAGAACCCACCTCAGAGAGCAAAAACCGTTTATCCTGAACCAAGGAACAATCAAGTTGGTTCAAGTGTGACAGATCTATAACAGGTAACCAACTTCCAATATTCATAGGAATAACAAAAAGAAAGGACTAAAATTCCATTGGAGTAAAGGCATTGTTCCATGGTATTCTAATTAGGTGAAGTGGAAAGTGAAAGGACAGGGAAAACCCCTAAGTCTGCAGCCAAGACCCACAACAGCCAGCTCTCAGAGGGGGGGGGGGAGTTAAATAGTAACAAGAGGATTAGGAACATGAGAAAGGGCAATCCAATAAGGCAGTAGGGCATGAAAAACCTGGTGGGATACTCTGGTCCAAAAAGGCAAGAAACAAAAGTGAGAAGAGATGACTGCTGACAACCTGCATCACCTCAACATTCCAAGGTAGAATAAACGTCCACAAAACCTCATCATGAGGAAAGGGTGCAACACAAATGTCTCTAAGAGAAGACTGAGGGAAGCAAGTGTCCAAAAATAAGGGCATTCTAACAAAGTATATCCCAGGAACAAAGAAACTAAGTTAACTTAGATACATTTTGAGGACAAGGTGGAAAACAGGTATGTACAAGTTCCCCCAGTAAAACTGAGATAATTGTAATGTAAAGCTTCTAAAAGATGAAGTGTGAACAAACAAATTGAGCAAGAAGGAGACAAAAACAAGTAAATGGAGAGTGGGAGAAAAAGAGAAGTAGGAAAATGAGATCCCAAGGTGAAAAAAAAAGAGGCTCAGGTGATAGAGGCTCATGCATCAAGACAACTTAAGATTCTGCAAAAACCAACTGAAGAAAGAGAAAACATGGCACATACGTGTGTAATCCAAGAAGTGAAGGTCAAAGATGACATTACCTGATCCTTATTGGTAGGAGAGAATCAGAAGCAAATGTGGGCATGGAAACAGAATTGATCAAGCTCACTTAATGATGTGGCAGGCTTAGCTGAAGTAACAGAAGGAGGAGGTCAGGAATCCAAGATCTGAGATTAGAATGTAACTGACCACCTGGTGCACAATGGCAGTAACATCACTAATCATCATAATGCCTTCGGTCACCTTTATATTATTGGATGACTCCTGCTGAAGAATGTAAAAACCTTAGGAAACATCAGGAACATTGAAACATAAGTCAGGTTCCAGATTATCAACAAAGCCAACCAAGTTGGTATGGTTTGTCTGTGGTACATGCCTACATCATTGGTGTAATAAAGAAATTGAAGAGTACTTAAAAACACATATGCTGGGTTAAAACAGTAGGAATCAATACTGTCAAAGAAAGTTTATCACAGACACTGGAACATGTATTCCAAGATACATATTTTATTAAAAGGAAAAATCAAACGTAAGATAATGTGAATCAAAATTCTAACAAAAATGTTCAAAATTTGGCATCTTTCATTCTCATAATCAAAAAAATAAAAGGAAAGAAAGACTACACTATGAATAATAATAATGAAAGCTTAAAACATAAATGGGAAAATGCTGTTAATTCTTATGAAAAGACAAGTCTCAATAAAGCAGCATCGATGAAAAGAATGAGCCTTTATTGTAATGTTAGCGCGCATGGGGTTTACTGCACTTGGCGGATATGTCACCCTCCTACTGCTGGAGAGCTATAGTCTAATGATTACATCATAAACTGGTGCATTCCATTTTAAAATATCTAGGGGTGGGAGTTCTGCAAAATTCTTCTGGGAAGACACCCTAGGTAATAGCTCTGTCTTGTAGAGAGGCAAGTACCGGTCAAAATAGTCTAGCCATATTCAAAGACTAACATTCTACTGTTAAATTACATATATGGTTGTAAAGACTTGCATGTGTAAAACAAAACGAAAATTTTATTAGAATTTGAAAGTTCACATTACTAAATATAACAAGAAACAAAATATACTTTACATACCATAGTAGGTTTAAGTAGGTTTTTCAGGTGTGAAATGCTCCAAATAAATCATAATTAAATTATGCTGGTTTCAGCTTTATCCATAAAGCCTAATCAGAAATACTGAAAAAATAATTGCTTTCCATTTTTACATTTTAAAACCTTGAAAGATACTCTTTTTCTTACCTTGAAAACTTCCGAGAAGAATCCCGAACCAATTTTTTCACAAACAAAATCATCCAATCGGTTTAAGGCTGCTACTGCATGTCGTAGGGCTTCACAGGAAGATCCAGTAATTCGAGATAAATTTTTTGAAAGGCAGCTCATGTCCCATATTATCAGGGTCCACATTTCTTTTGTCACATAAAGAATCATCCTGAATAAAATTACTTTCTGTAGCCTTACGAGTCTCTAAAGAATGGGGATGACACACTAAGGCTTGACCAGTTAAGGACATAATGCAAAAATCACAAAGGCACAAGTTTGTCTGGACAGAAAGGTTTCAGGTACCCACACCAGCTGGCCCATTCCCAACGTCTAGTACCATCCATGCGCAAAAATCTTGAATAGAAATTTTTTAAAGTAAATATTTTTCTCATTCATGTTATGGAAATACAGTTATGTGTATTAGCTCACTGTGTCTGTATTTTTTAAGCTACCTTGTTTGTTGAAAAGTCAATTACAAAGAAAGAAAAAAAAAAGGTGTACAATTACAAATGTAGAAGAATGTTTGTGATTTGCATGAATTGGTTCTGTTGCAAGTACTACAATATATGAATGTCCTGATGTAAAAGACAATAATCTTACAGATCACTAAGAAGGAAAATGAATTTTCAAAAGCATGAAAATCTACTTTTTCCGATTAACTATAACAACGTTATTTAACCTGCATAATACTACGTTGTCAATTTTCTACAAGTTAAAATAAAAATAACATTAGTTGTAAAATTTCTTTATGTATCAAGTACATATGATTCTGAAAACAGTACAAAACAAGTAATATAACAGTTTACCACACATGGTCACAAATTTCAGCTGGAGAAACTACTGGCAATAAAATACATTGTTCAAAATATACTTTAATCCACTGATAGGAAAAAGATTTTATCTTCCTTTCGTAAAAGCAGTTTACACTGAATTGATAAATTTAACACTGAACATAATATATTCCAGAATACATATCATTACAATTTCAAGTAAGTTGGTCACACTTAATATGTGCAAAGTTATACAATGTAGTCATCCAAACCAAAATGTCTGTTAAATTTCAAAGATTCCATCATGCCAAGTCAAGAATAATAAGAGATACAATTGGACATACATACATACATACATACATAAACATCTAATTAATCACATTATGACCCTTAAAGTAACTAATTCATTTTAAAATATGGTCCATTCAGAACTAGAGTTGTACAAAGTTAATTTCTTCTAATCCAAGCTAGTTTTTTTTAATTGTGTGATGTTGAACTTCATTTATGACGGCTTACATAAATAATAAACAAATATGGAAGCGTCTAACATATTTATCTCCATCCAGAATAATCAGTAAAGCTGTCTAAAAAATAAGATAATTTTAGTCTCTTCCTGCTTATTACATTATTCCATAAGTTTTTACATACTGTTGTTTTTCATGTACTAGGTAAAGGTTCCAAAATCATTATTGTGATCAAATCCTAACGATAACTAAAGACAGACACTTTCAAATGTGTAACTCTTGCTTAAAAAACTATATTTTTATGGGTTTTTTCAACTGGGTTTTCTTGACTGGGGTAAATCAACAATCCCACTTATAGCATTCCTATACTTTTACATTTTTAAGGTTAAAATGAATTTCAAAAAGGTACTTTCTTCTAAAATATGAAAAGCATTTCCTTGTTGAATTGCTCTCATGCTATCAATAGATATGTGGCTAAAATTCTGAATGAATATCCTTAACACAATGCACAGCATGCATCAAAATACCCATAATTCTCCACTCTCCTACCTTTACATGATTTATTCAGATTTTGTAGAAGTAGTAGTCAAGAAGGAAACTACACATCTCATAGATGTGGGAAGGTGAGTGGAAATGTATTTCAGAGGTATGATTGAAATTCATTTTTCTACCCAAAAATGTAAAATTTAAAATGAGCAAATTTACTTCTGCAATAAAAAAGAATAGTCAAACTGAGGTGAAAGGAGGACTGAAGAGAATCACGGGAACTACTGGGTTACTAATTTGTGGATTTTATGTAGGAAGGTAACAATTAAGCCCACAAAAAATAGCAATCATGATCAATCAAGAGGTTAAGAGGACTAGATTCAGGAAAGAATGAGTGGAGTGGAAAAACCTCATAAGAGACTGGACCAAATGAGGATATATAGATAATTCATTCTTCTTGCCCTCTTTAACCCTTAAATGTATATATTAGAGATGTATATATTTCAGGTAAAAGCCTTGACCTTTCGTGTGTGATAATGTTGCCAATGTTGCTAAAAGCCGGTTCGCTGTCTACGCTGGCCAGAAGTGTGGAGAGATAATGCCTTGCTATCCTGGCCATTGTGGGAAATCAAGCTTCATTTGACTTCCAAAAGTGAGGCCAGTGAAAGAAAATGCAGAAAAAGTGATGTTGACACGTTTTAGAATCATTATTCCGATTAATGCCTAACCTCAACTTTTCAAACCCTAACCCCTATTGTTCTCAAAACCCCCACATTCCCCAGAAATCCACTTCTCAAGCCATGAAACCCCTATTGTTCTCAAAACCCCCACATTCCCCAGAAATCCACTTCTCAAGCCATGACTGTAATTTAGATTAGGGCTTAGATACTATTTTCAATTACCCGGAATCGGCTGTTTTTAACTTCGACATTATCGGGTAGCCCAATAACCGGCCAGGGCTGAATATCTGGCCAGGTGCCCATGCATCCCTAGTACATATAAAAAGGAGGAATCAGGCAGAATGTATTTACCAGTGAAACTGTCACAGAATTGAAAAGCCTTAGGCTGACTCAAATATAGGTTTGACAACTGTATGAAAATACAGTGAGAACACCTAATAGGTTAAAAGAGTAAAAATATAAAGTTGTAACATGTTTCCCATCCAGGTTGAAGCTACGAGATATCCTATGGAGAAAAGCCATCTCATCTTCGATGTCTCTAATGCCATACAAGGACATGCATAGAGTTGGAAGAATTACCAGCCAAGGCATCCTCTGTCCACTTTCAAAGGGCATTACCTTCTCACAAAGTATCTACATTAAGAGTGGAAGTGGTCTAAACCAATGCAGAAGTTTATGTAAAATGCATGAGTTTCAACTGTACAAATCCCTTCAAAACCAAGTCTGATCTATAATGAGAAATAAAACACTTTTTAAATGGTAAAAACAAAGAGTGTTCGTGGTATGTTGATAGTTAAGCTGTTGTGCACAATGAAAATTCAGACCCAAGTGGTAACAAGGCATATAATAAAAAGAATTCACCAATTAGAGATACCATTTTGGTTGAAGAATCACAATCAGAGGCAAATAGAATCCCAGAGATGAAGCAATGTAATATAAGTAACAGTTTAAGAACACATACAGATTTGTATACAAGCTAATCTACAGAATAACCTCTAAAATATACTACGATCAAAGTGCCAAAGGCATCACTAAATGGTGAAATTGGCCAGATATAACCCAAAGCTCATGTTTAAGATGTACAGAAGCATCCGGTAAACAAAAATGGATCAACTGCACAAGCCAATTCATTAAAGTAGCTAGAGCAAGATCTAGAGAGCCTGATTAAGTGTAAGATATAATAAGTTCAAAAGATATAACAACAAATAACACTGAAAAGAAAAAAATCATTTTCCTTAATAAGATTCCATTGAGCGTGCAGTACCCACAGATGAGTGGTGACTCCAAAGGATGATGGATTTCATGGAACCCAAGGTCCCTAAAATAGAGAGAACTTCACACACAAAAAGAGAAGTCTTGGCTTTGAACACCAAGAGCTCCATATCCCTCATATGTGGAGAAGAAGGCTGGGTCCTGTAGATATAAGTGTTGAAAAACACCCCCAGATTAATAACATATCAGGTGGGGAGTGAGATGGGACTTCTCCAGTTTGACAAGCCATCCCAAACAAGCTGCCTCCTGTAGGAGGAAATGGGTATGATTGTGAGAGGCTTATTGGGGAGGTGTGAAAAAAAGCCAGTCATCCATATAGCGGTGAAACTGCAGACCCTGGTCATGAACATGGTGGGCAAAGTCTCTGACTCAAAAATAGAAAAATTAAGGAGCTAACACCAGAACAAATGATAGAGTGCAGAGTAAAACACCCGATTCTCATGAACAAACTGAAGGTAACATCTGGATGCAAGAGAGATACGGATATGAAGGTAAGCATCAGAGATGTTGACTTTGGTCATACAAAGACCTGAGGGCAAGGAAAGACTCCATGGTGACCCAAGGGATGTCAAAGAAACAGCTGAGGTTTGAGAGATCTATTTACAGGATGCCAATTCCTGGTCTTCTTTGGCACAATGAACACATGGGGAAAAAAAATCCAGAGAAGTGTGAAATACCTGTTCTATAGTGTTCTTCCTCAAGAAATCCTGACTCTGGCAAAAATGTGAATCCCGAGGAGGGGAGAAAGAAATGGGAAGTGGAGATAAAGGAGGAAGCATGAAAAAACAAATAAGTAGTCCTTCTGTTAGAACCTGAAGAACCCAGAATCTGTGACAAAATGGCGTCACAGATGAGCAAACCTAGCCAGCCATGCTCCCACTGCACCAGAACCCAAGGGATAGTCACCAACAATCTGGTAAATCTGGTGATTTGCAGACAAACCATGGGAAGGTGGTACTGATAGAAGGGAACAGGAGTAGGAGATGATTGGGAAAGATGAAAAACAAGAAAGGAAAGAGAGGAATGTTGACACACAGCCTCAACCCAAGACTCTAAAGTATCAGGGATATCTCCAAAAAACACACTGGTGCAAGGAACTAGTCAAAGATCTCACAGATAGGAAGCAGACAGATGAACATGTGATAAAAGGATGTCCCTGCTAAGGAGATCCCAACAACAAAGGATCCACATATGGAGGGTCAAATCCAAGGAAGATATACATGCCAAAGAAAGGAGGTGAATGAATGATAGTAGTGAGTGTAAGACAAAGATGAGAAAACTGTGCCAGGGAAAAACATAAGGTAATAACAAGGTCAGAGCCCCATACCTGAATTGGTAATTCCAAGGACTAAGAATCCAGAAACAGAAAATCTGACCTATGATATGACAAAGCATGTTAGTCAACCAAACACAGGGGTCAAGGCATGCTGGCATACAAATGTAGTTAGGTGAGAAACTGTTCAGAATGGACCCAAATATCAAGAAAAGGGTGAAAACCAAAAATTGGACTTTGAGCCAGAATGAAGAAGAGAGGGGGAGGAATCATATGAAACAGGATAAAGAGACAAAAGGTTACAAACATGAGAGGTCATGTCCAGAAAGACAGTAGAAGAATGAGGGAGATCCAGAGGGGTAGACCAGAAAGGAACAGCAAAAGCTGGAAGTGGAAAACGTTGTCCAAGTCTACATCTTCTGGAACAGATTTCTCAGGAAATGGAAGATCTGACTGAGGCTCAGTAGATATTGTAGGCTGCAAAGAAGACTAACTTGTTACACACCCAGGCCAAGACCTCCTCTGTTAAAGTGTGGAGCCTAAAGCCATGGTAGTATTGAGTCTGAGTATGGCCAGATCTGTATCACAAGCCATTGTATTAGCATTAAATTGAAAATTCATCATGTGGAAAAGAAAGGAAAACCTTTCCAAAAAAACAAATGCTGTTACAATAAAAAATGTATGACAACAAATGAAAGTTGTCAATACATAACAGGAAGCTGGGTAAAACTTTTACCACGACTGTACACTTGAATGCCAAATTGAGAAATGATGATTGTTTTCTATAGTACAGATGGAGTCAGGTGGGCTAGGATGGTGTGTTGTGCTCCTATTGGTGAAGGGTTGTCACATGCTCATTTGCAAGCTACAATGCAGTTATACCACTTGTAATCACATGGGTAGGTGGGAGCATAAAGACTAGTGGCAAGAGAAAATTGAACATATAGAGGGCAACAAGTTAAGAAAAGCTATTATGTACGATGATGTAAAGTATTGTATTGGAAGAAGCTCATAAGCCACAATTATGAAACAAATACATAAAGAATGAAACAATTTGTTAAAAACTTGTATTTAAACAAGGGTTATCATGTCTAATATACCAACTCTGAAAGAAAGCCCAATGAAACTGATAACGCCAAAGAGCATTTGCAAGAATAAGTTAGCATTCAAACTTCTCAGAAAAAGAATCTAACAACTCAAACAAAGAACAGCCAGCAACTAAGCCATAGGCAAAGACCATTGTGAAAAACTGACATTCAGGTTGTTTTAGAAGATCATTCCACAGTGGTAATGGGATTCGTTTCTCATAACAGAGGCATAGCAAGAGTAACAAAAATGTAGGTCACCACTAGTTTTTACTTCCAAAAGCATTTGTGACAAGTATGTTAGTGAGGAAGAAATGATTTTAGTATATAGTTAGATTATAATTTTGCTTTGTATACAATTTACTTTTTTTTTCAATTAAGCTCACAGTAATACTGCTTTAGATATTTATTTAGCAACTAACAGTTGTCTAGTTTGTTTAATTTAGTTTTGATTAAAAGAAAATTTAAGTAATTTATTTCATATAAGGGTTGTTAAATGAATTATTCTGTAATATTCACTTTATAATACTAATTACCAAAATGTTGAATATAAAATGCAAATGTCTAAGAATTTCAAACAGCAAAATTTTATTACTTACACAAAAATATTGCTTTATTTCATTTTGAGTACACGACGAATAACCATCCATGCTTACGTCACAAATATCTGTTAAAAGACAAAATCTCTACAAACTGAAGTGTGCAGATATCATTCAAAAATGGCACTGCAATAGTAAAATGCATGATTAAATTTTAAGGCACTGGGCATCTCAAACACAATTAGAGACACCATTTTCAATTATATTTAAAAAGCCTTCAGTAAAAACCATTAATATACGCATAACAGGCAACAACCCTCAATTTGTCTGCAATGTATTTACTCAAACTCCAAGGTGAAAAAATGACAGCATAAATCTATTATAGTTCATAAGACTTATGTAGAATCCATTAAAATATGCATAATAGGCAACAAAATTCACTTCATCTGCAGTGTATTAATTCCAACTCCAAGGCTAAAAAAAATGACAGCATAAATTTACTACAAAACATACTTTTTAGCTTGTACCTAGGCAAGGCTAAGATACAGAATGTTTCAGTGCATGCTTGCTACAAGCATATGTACATTATTATCTTTTCAACAGAAAAAGACAAAAATGAGTCATCCATAGAGCATAATTTTAAATAATGCATAAATGAATGCTTTTCTTTAACAGCAACATGGTAGCCATCTACCAACATATGCATGATTTGTTTTGCTGTACTGTACTTTGCCAAATATGTCAAATTATAGCTAGTAAATGTTTTTTTCTCTCTACAAAATTTGGGTGCCCAGACACCAAGAACCCAGCCTGTATATATTCGTGGCTCATGAAAAAGTAGACATAATAGGGTAAACCAAGGCTTGGCAGGCCAAAGTGGATCAAAAAGGAGAACCTGGTACTTTGAGTAACTGATCTTAGACAGGACTTGAGGGAGAAGGTGAACTAGAGAGTAAGCATAAAGAAAAAGATTCTCTTAATATTGACTCTGAGCATCTACTGCCAGAGAATGTGGATCTAGGAACTGGAGACCAGTGGAATGGAAGAAGATGGATGTTCGATGTACCAAAGGCATAGACCATCAGACAACCCACACAGTAGCAATTTCACTGAAAAACTAAAAAAGGTGAAAGGTCCACTCCACTCTGTGGAAAGAAAATGATTACTTCAAGAAAGAACATCAGACAAACTGTTCATCACATCAGGAATATGACAGGTTCACAAGAAAACACGTTGAAAATGAAGCCAAAGATGGAGTGAAACCATACCAAAACAAAGGCTGTGAGAATAAGTACCTCCTTGATTATTAATGTAAGCTACTAAAGTAGAATTGTTCAAGTAAACTAACACAGAACGATAGTGAATAAGTGGCAAAACCTTGAGATACACATGTTGAACAGCCCAAAGTTCTAACATATTGATGTGAGTTGTTGCTTCTTGAGGAGTCCAAGAACCAGAATGATATTTATTCCCCAACACACCACCCCAATCTTTGAGAGAGGCATTTGTGAAAAGTTGAAGGTTAAAACAATGATGTCCTAAAGTGTTGATTCAATGAAAACCAGAGAAACATGAGTGATAGAGAAAGGGTGATGTTGTGTGATAACGAATATTAAGTCACGAGCTGCTAAGAAGCTAGATCTCATTGCACTTGGCTGGTGTGATTGTGCCAAAATGGAATGACTTCATGAAGTAAGCCATTGTTCCTAAAGCTGAAAGTATATCTTTGGCCAGGCCTTGACAAATCCCAAGTGCCAGGTTGCAACAGTGACTAAAAATTTCATCATGGTACCTTGTATTTTCTCCCATTTTACTCATGCACAGGGAAGTGCTAAATAAAACTCAAATCTAGAACAGTCCAGGGCTCTTGGAAGTCTGGAACTATTTTCACGTTCTTTTAATCTGAAATTGAACTTTGTTTCTAGGATTTTAATGGCAGATTCAGCAATTTATGTTTGTTTTTTTTCAGAAATGAAGTGCTGCAGTTGCACAAGATGTTATTAATTTTGTGCCATTTTGTTTTTCTTCTTTCTCTCAATTCAACAAATCTGTGCATGTGTTTAAACACAGATGGGACCAAAGGCAGTTAATTCAGGCAATACTATTAAGAGGTTGTTGATATCACGTGATCATTAGCATGTACTCGTTGGTGTGAAAGTAAACAAATATAGTCCCCATTTCCAGGTACAAACAGTAGTGAAGTTACGTTAGGCACACCAGAAGGCCTTTGATTATCGTTGCACTGTGTTGTAGTGATGAGTAGATTAGACCTATTCTGAAACAACCATAGCCAAGTATGGACTATCGATATCACAGTGATTATTTTATTTTCATTCATTGCAAGAATCCACTTAAGTTATAGTTATTTAGTCTACTATTTTAAGAACTACCTTTTTAAATCTACCTCCCACAGCCAGTGGCCAACTTATATAGCCCTGCTTAGTATATTTTGTTGTCAGTTAATATCCATTGTTATTAATGTAGCCCTTGATCATGAAACATTCAGTAACATCTGGAAAGTTAGAAGCAATGCAGTCTCGACTAGAGAATTTCTTTGTCATTCCATTAGAAAAGAAAGATACATGGCCTTCTACTTCATCTGAGAAAAAAATATGATTAAGAAGAAATGATAGGAGTAGCTGAAGAAGTAGACTTAAATTCTAGTAATCCATCCATTAGTGAAATTCATAATGCGAAGAGATGGAAGTTTCAACAAAAGTATTTCAATGAACTGAAGTGGCTTAACTTTAATCACAACACAGGTGCTGCTCACTGTGAGAAATGTGAATCTTTCCCTACTGTATCAGACTTCAGTTCAAAAGTCGTAAATGGCACTTTGAGCTGGAAACTTTCAAAAAACATTTCAGCATCATATAATGCATTAACATCTCCAGAATCTACCTCTTTAGCAGTATTTGTGAAGGAAATTTAAAAAGAATATATTTTATCATATGAAGACTGTTTTTAATATAGCCTACTACATCACTAAAAATAACAAGCCATTTTCTGATATTGGTAGATAAATTGAAGGCTGAAATAAGAAAGTTATCATTTTCCTAAACTGAAAATGTATTTCCAAACATACTTACCTCCACTGACCCTAACAGCTATTTCTCGATTTTCCTCTTTGTCATCTAAAGCTGTGTTCACTTGCTCCAGTTTTTATATACCCCACTCAACTGCCCTCAGCAATATCTAATTTGCAAAACTTTATGCCAGCCCACACATGCCCTCTATGCAGGTACTGTATTTAAGCAGTATATGCATACAATAAAATCACTAACACCAGCTCTTTGTGGGGAGTTAGGGAGGGAGAGTATCAGCATTTGTTTGGAAATACATTTTCAGTTTAGGAAAATGATAACTTTCTTATTTCAGCTTTCAATTTATCTACCAACATTAACAAACCATCAATATCAGAAAATGGCTTGTTATTTTTAGTGATGTAGTAGGCTATATTAAAAACAGCCCTCACACGATAAAACATATATTTTGTTTTAATTTCCTTCACACATACTGCTGAAGATGTAGATTCTGGAGATGTTAATGTATTATTTGATGCTGGAATGATTTTTTATGTTTTTTGAAATTTTTTAGGTTGAAAGTTGTCAATATCTTAACATTCTATTGTATATATTATGAAAAAAATTTTATTTTACTTTCTTATTTAAAAATGTTTATATTTCACACAAAATGCTTTTGTAAAATATATTTTGGTAAGTTGTAAATGGGTACATCACCTAGAAGTAACAATGTTCAATTGAAGAACCAACAGAAGTAATTCATGATTTATTTACACTGTTACCTGTAAGTAAGAACCATGAACTACAGAACTGAGACATCTGAATGTGTATTAAGCAACAAAGACATTTATTAGCTGTATGTTAAAAGTTCATGAGAGGGTTAAACATACAAAAATACTTATAATTAAGATTATGACAGAGAGCTTGTTTTTAATTTTAAATATTGGGGATATAACATAAAATAACTTAATTCTGAAATGATTTCAGTTTAAAACTGAATCAATATTTTTATTTTCATGATAAATTTTATGCACTTGGCTCTAGGATATGTGATCCCATACTAAGTCTTTACTTTAGGCTTATTATACCAACATTCACTACACTTAAGGTTTCACAGCACTACCACCCCCACCCCCTGTCACTAAAATAATAATGAGCAGACAGTAATCAAACTATTCTATCTGGATAAATGCATTTTCACTTTTATGACTTCTTATTTCAAGAAATCAAGATAAATCAAGAATGACATGACACACACTGGCTTTTATATAGATTTTCTTTGAATTTCTCACTTAAATAGGTTTATATTTAAAAAACAATGAAAGGTGTTCAGCTTTTTCTATTTGTTACATATTGTATAGTTGAATAAGGGTACTACTGCTCATCACAAATCTCAATGATATTCACTGTTACTAATCTTATTCCTATGCAACTGTGAGTTACTGACCTAGTTTATACAGTTTCAGGTACATGTACTTTGACTGTCAAAATTTTCTTCCCACATTGTTTACTACAAGAATTTCAGACACCTGTTTGTTATTCAACAGGTAGCTTATCTCGACTAGATGAAAATCTTATGTACTTCACTTTATGTTTATGTTGTGAAATAAAATGTCCAGTAAATGTTTTTTGAAGTGGAAATTATTCTTCATTCTTTTGTTTGTGTGTGTTTCAAACTTTTAAGTCATTAGTTAAATACATGCAAGTTAAACAAGTAAATAAGATTGATCTTCATGTTCCAAAGCCAAACAGAAGAACGATTAATTTTGTCAGTTGTATTATATCAATTCAACTATTTCATCATGCTTTAAATAATTTTATATAATTTTTTTTCCTAGTGTTATTTTTTTGTCTTCTCAAAAATCATAAAAGCTCTATTTCTGTTCTCAAAGACTAAAGGTTATACACAGTTAATCTTCAGAAATTTACATCAATCATTGAATAATAAAAAATAGAAATACATATGTATGAGTTCATGAGATTGGTCTACTGTACAGCAAACTCTTACCTATAGGTAACATTATTACATGAATATTGTCTGTTCATTTGTAATAAAGAGAAAGCCAGTGTTTATCATGTGTACATAAAGTTTCTGAACTTGTACTCACATACTGGAATTAACATCTTTTCAAACTAAGCATGAGTCATTAAATCTTATCTCCGTTGACATATATCATACGAAAGCAATCTCTGTTTAATCAGAATGAAGAAACATAATAATACTCAGTTACACTATAAAAGGTTTTTATAAAAATCCCTCTAAAGTGATATGCTCAATAAAGTTAAAAAAGGCAAAATAATTTGCTAATATAAATTTTCATCAGATAGCTAGATGCAAAATTCTTAACCAACCTCAATAACATACCGAAAAACTAAGTTGAAGAAAAAAAGTCTAAATATGATTATGTTGGTTTAAGTTTTCAGTCTGACAACAGGTGATTCTCAATAGTAACAAATAACAAAAGCAAAAAATTAAACTATGGGACAGTATAAATACAAGATATCAAATGGTGACTATAAACATGTCTTTCTAACAATATAATTTACCTAACTACATGTAATCGTTTTCCTAAAGCCATCTGTTTAAGAAATAATAACAGAAATGAAAAAAAATTACATTAATAAAACCTGTTACTGTTATCAGTGTATATAATCTTGCTCATGTTTCGAAAACAAATTTGTTCCAGGAACTCAGATATATAGATCAAAACACGTTATCAGTTACAGTTTTAGTAAATGTACTGAATAGTTGACATGTAGTTCATTACAACTAAACTGAGCAATATTTATGTATACATGAGCACTAGCTTGTAACAAATACATTACCAGATATATGTTGTTTGTGAATATGTTCTGTTTTCACTATCATAAAGTCTACAATTAAGATCAGAATGCCAGAAGGTCATTGTGCCCAAAAGAATTAATTAACCCAACTTCCACTTCCAAGCCAACCAACCAACCATCCAAAGCAAAAAAACCAAACTTGATGTAGCTTTTCACAAAGACATATCTAACCAAACATTTAAACTTACAGCACATACCACATTATTAAGCAAACCACTAAAAGATGTTGAATTTTAAGTTTGCATCTACGTATTAATTAGTTGTAAGAGCCTAAATTTACATGTATTATTCCATTTTTCAGGTCTACATTTCTAGCCTTCTCATTCCATCAACCAAATATAGAGATTCAGTGCATTATATTATAGTGATATTAGTCTCACTGCTATCTATGTTGCCAAGTCAGATCATATTCTATCTGATGAACATGCATTTTGACTATAGTCCTGCAGCAAGGTTTCCACTGCAAAGGGCTCTGTCATACAACTCTCATGTTCAAAGAACACCCCTTCTCCCTGTTTGCTTTTCATAAGCTATCTAGTGTACCAGGACAATGGTTTCATAAGAGCCTGTTTCAACAGTCCAACTGCAAAGAAATGCACAACCAGCAAATTGACCAGAAATAGCAGTATGCTTTCCCTACAGAATAGCATGAATACCCATTTCATTCTCCAGCTGCTTGAAATATGCAACGGTTGAACAAATATGTTGTGAAAGCAGCTTGTGTAAATGTGACTTGTATCACTTTTCCAAACAGAGATCCTTCATGATTATGTTGCATACTGTTGTAATAATGTGGTAATATCTGAGATGATTGAGCCCCCCTTAATACCCCATCTGGGGAATTTTGCCTTGGTATGGTAACATATTTAGTTATTAACAAACATGCCCATATGTATTAAAATAATTCCTGTTTATATGGAAGCAGTGGGAAGGGATAATAATGCAGTGTAAGATTTGAGATGATCGGGTCCCTTTCAATTCCCTGAACGGAAACTTTTGCCTTCATTTAATTATTAGTAAAACAAGTAAAGTCCTATAATGACAGTTCTTACTGTTATATAAGCAATGAAAAAGGAATAACCTTTGATATAATTTTAAAGCTGATTGGAGCTATTTTTGTATCCCATCAACATGTTGTGTCTTGGTATGGCTTTCACCCATACCCTCCAAGTCTAAGCTGAAGATCACTTCTGCCCTACCCAAATTTATATTTATGCCCCCTTGTCCTATCAATTTCACCATAAAATACAAAATAAATGATATATCAATATTATCAATTCCCTTAATAATCTTTAAGTTTAATGCCTCAATCAGATCCCACCTAACTTCTAAGTTATTAGATTATACTTATAGGATATATGGTCATTTCTGAAACACAATCAAAACTTTTTCCCTCTAATCATCTGAGCTTGGCATAATAAATTAGTATATGCTTAAATCAAATTTTTATTAAACTTAAAATTCAGAGTTAATAATTAATACTGGGTTAGACAACATAAACTGGTCCAAAGCTATTTTATATTACTATTATACTGATACTATTCTTAATTCAACTGAAAATGAAGTTGTAAGGTAAAGCATATGCAATCTTTTAATTATATTTATAACTTATAGTTCATTAGTTGAGTAACGTTGTTTATAAGTAAAAACACTGAAATCTTACTAATATAATATTCGTAACAACAGTATCATTAATTATTAGTAATAACAATACATTTTACACAAAATGACAAATTACAAAATTTTGATAATTCATCAAAAATATTTGCAAAAAAATCCATAACTTAAGCTAAGTTCCAAATGGCCAATTTTTTATTATATACGATTTCTTCAAATTAAACATTTAAAGATAACTCACAAAAAGTGAAAAACAGCATATCTTAAAGTTGTTATTATTATTATTAGCAACTAGTTTAAGTTACAACAACCTTACCTTTCCTCAGATGAAAAATAATCAAATCCCTCGATAAGCTGGCCTAGCATTAGGCTCACTACCGGACAAGATGAAGAAACCAGATTAGCGAAAGCAGAATACCTACATATAGTTAAATATGCCAGTCAATCTTGTATATTATTATTTATCTACTAGATGACGCTAGCATCAATAAGATAAAAAAAAAAAAACAGTCCAATATTTCTCGTCATATCAGTTCTGCAGGTCTATTATTAGTTTGTTCATATGTACGTCTTTTTATTTTTAATCAATACTATAAAGAAAATTGAACTTTATTATATTTTACAACAAAACCTTAAATGATTTGCATAAATATAAAATATCGTTTTTAGCCATATATATATATTTTTTTTCATGCTATGTATATTTCGTTTCTTTGTGGTTAAACTCAAAGCTACGAAATGGGTTCTTTGTGATCTGCCCACTGTGGATATCGAAACCCGATTTTTATCGTTACAAGCCCTCAGACTTACCTTTAAGCCACCAGGTGTCTATGATGTTCGGAGATACAATTCACTAACTTATGAAAACAAAACAAAAAACTTTGGATTAATATTACATTAATCTCTAACTGTGCAGCTGACTATTGTCAGTACTTTACTTCAAAGCACACAACATTATTATTAATGGCTGGAGACGGCTTGAATGGGTAATGAAGAAAAACTTTAATATAAGTTTAACATAACAGCAAATGTACAACGTTTCGACAAGGTTTTGTCATCATCATCATACATTGATGACAAAACCTCGTCGAAACGTTGTACATTTGCTGTTATGTTAAACTTATATTAAAGTTTTTCTTCATTACCCATTCAAGCCGTCTCCAGCCATTATTAGTCTTAAAGTGGGTTCCTCGTCATCGAATTTGAACACAACATTATTATGTTCTCTTCAGTAAGAAGCTCTGCTTATTGTTATTTACGAGAATAATAAACTATTCGGAGATACCCCTAGGGTTCAGGTTATTAACTTCCCTAATGTTGACCTAGGGACCAGAGGAAAAGATGACAATCAGCGGCAACTACCGCCACATCGTTTTTTGGTGGTTTTTTTCCAGACTATGAACAAAATAAATGTATAGTCTTTCACTTTGATAACCACCCACCGTGGTACTTGAAAGTACCAATATTTTCCCCTCTCACTTAACTTAGAAAGCAAATTATTTAGTTTAATCATATTTTCAAATTTTCTTTCATATATATGCGCTTTTAGAGTACCTTTTGCAGTACTGTCTTCACTAGGTGGAGATTTATTTTTGGTTTTTTGTATATGCGTCCCATAGTAACACCATTGTGTTTAAGTTTAGAAATGGCTGGAAGTTAAACTATTGTTACGTCTCCGTTTGTTAATTTACTTCCCGTAACTTCGTTCCGACGAAACTTTAGCGACACAAGTATTTACTTAATAAAACTGGTTTATTCTTTCCGAATATAACTCTGCGATACACTTAATCTCAATATTCGCATTAAAACAAACAGTATCACGAACGAACGTTAACTTCAACAATACCCTGTCACTGCAGTTCAATTACTCACTGTCTACACACACATTACATTACCGCGTCACGTTGTCCCCCTCTTATATATACCAGACTACCCTATCTAGTAAATACTAGAGCATTCATGAAGGAACAAGATAGTTCTAGAAACTAGAGGGCGCCACACCAGTCACGTGACCTCGATGACGCAACACTATCCTTACTTTCATTTGGAACAACCAATAAAATAGGTTGTGTCTGCACTCTAACAGAGGTGACGTTATTGTTCCTGTATATATAATGTCATACTCTCTTAATCTAAAACAGAATTTCTACAGACTAATTTATATAATTCAAGTTTTTCTGTAATCTAACGGCATCGTCTATTTTGACTTACTGTTGTAAATAAAGATTGAATTTACTTAGTTTAACATTGTTTTCAGTTTCTTTCCTTCAGTTTAGCCAAATGAAGTATTAGTTTTCAACTCCATAATACTGTTGCGTCAGCGAAGTCACGTGACTAGTGTCACGCCACGTTTCTAGAACTATCCTGTTCCTTCGGGAGTGCTCTAGCATTTGCTAGCTTGGGGGTGGTCTGGTATATATATAAGATGGTCACGGCGTGACGTGAGAATATGTGTAGGTAGTGAGTAATTGAACTGCAGTCAGAGAGTACTGTTGAAGTTAACGTTCCTTGTTTTAGCGTTTGTTATAGAGCGACTGTTGAAAATAAGTGTATCGGTAAAGTTATATTCAGAAAGAATAAACCAGTTTTATTAAGAAAGGATTTGTGTTGCTAACGTTTCGTGGGAACGAAGTTACGGAAAAGCAACTAACGAACGGAGACGTAACAAATTGGTGTCAGAGAGTGGGACAGAAAAAAATGAAAACGAGAAGCGGCAAATTAAACCACAGCATAGCAGACTTAATGGCAGCAATACAAGAAGAGC